CATTGATATCATATGTGGAGGTTATGATAAAAATTTGAGAAGATTTACGTATGCGTTGTCACGTCTGATGCTTACAAACCGGGACATCTCTACATGTGATATCCGAAGCACAATGTGGAAATGTCACGGTTTGTAAGCATCGTATGTGACAACGTGCATCAAACATTCTCAAATTTTATCATAGCCTCCACATATGATATCACGACATCTCAACAAGTTTCATGATTTTGAAATTCGTTTGCTTTTTATAGAATTTAAAACACTTCGCACGCAAGTCAAGCGGTCATGTTTCATGAACAAGATGTCCGAAATTTCGGGTCCGTTCGGATCTGGCCTCACACTACACTCACTAACATGACTATCATTTTTGAATCATTAAATTCCATTATTATACCACAAGCAGTTCAAATTTATATTTTGAAAAAAATTCAAGTAAACAAAATAAAGTAACTAAATATATCAAAAACCATAAAAAATCTCTGAATTCTAATTAGGAGTTCTTGGTACTTTAAAAGGGCTACAGAAAATTTGGAGGCCAAAAAAAAAAAAAAAAAAAACTTTACGAAAAGTGCCACGGATAAGGCGGCAAAGAAGGTTCTGATTTTTTTAGAAATTTTCTCTTTATGCCGGACGGCGGATCGGGGCACTCGGCAAAGTTGACTCCTTTGCCGAGTGCCTCCCCGATGCGGCGCTTCGGCAAAGGGGCGGTGGGGGCACTTAAGCGAGTTCGTCCGGGCACAGTCCAAGCCACACGAGAGAGCACCAGCGCGCGCGCTCCCGGCCATCCCGCGCCCGCCAGCCACTCCCCGTCGCCGCGCCCGCCAGCCCACGGGCCCCGCCGACGCCGCGCGCGCCTCCGCCGCAGCCCTCCCCGCGCCCCAGCTGGATGGAGGCGTCAGCTTCGGCAGAAGGTGGGGAGGCAGCGCCGCCACGCTGGAGCAGCCCGGGCGGCCGTGCACGCCACCAACGACGACGCCGCTGCCAGTGAAGGTGATGCCTCGCGACCTGCTTCGAGTGTGTCTGCTTCGATTCCGGTTCTGTAATGCGGTTGTTGGGGGTGTTGGTCACCACATGTTCGTCGATTTGCCAACTAGGGAGTGCGCTTTGCCCGTGCTACTTTGCTAGCTTTTACGAAGACACAGACTGGACGCTTAGTAGTTAGGAGTAGAAGGGTTGTGAAAAATTGTGTGTGTAACTTCACGGTAGATTTTACATTTTATTTCAACTTCATGAGACTGTAACATTGGGGCGTGTCTGAGAACCTGATGCGAAATGCTATTTGATTCCTTACTACAGATAAATGGTGTATTTACAATTAAGATAATGAAAGCGTCAGGGCAGGCACTAGCAAAATTAAAGATTGCTGTGCTCTAACTTTGCTTTTACATTAGTGCAACTAAGTGGACTATACTTTAGAGACCTTAACTAGTATGGAGATGTCTATACTATACTTCTGTTACTTTCTGGGACAAAGTTTTCATTGTGTTGTTTGATTTGAGTATTTGGAGGTAAAAAAATTCTTGTTTTTCTAGATCTGGCTATTCAAACTACAATCTTAGATTCTGCTTGGTTCAAAGCAAGCAAACGGTTGTGTGCTTATATAAGCTGTCAGCAGTTGCGAGAAGTCGATACATCAAAAATACTAGAAGGGTGTCTATCATCGAATCCTGGTGAGTCCATCTGTAGTTATGCTCGTTACTGATTCTGTCACTAACAATTAGGTTTTCCTTAAGGACAAGAGGAACTGGCAAAGGATCTTTATGTTCCTCGAGTGGAGGATAAGAACAGTAATATGCGGATGCTCAAAATCACCACCATGGATGATTTAGTTAAGAATTCAATGAACATTCTGGAACCATCACCTGTGGATGCTACCGGGAATGATCGTGAAGATGGTATGAAATTTCATTTCCATGTTACTGCAAAAAGCTTTCTCCACATCTATATATATAAGTTACTGCATCGATGGGGTGTTTAAGTTGACATGTATTCACTACCTGCCCTGTCTAATGTATATAAGTTACTGCATCCATGGGGTGGTTAACTTTACATGTATTCACTACTTCTGATCCTCTTTTTATCCTTGCAGTATTGTCATCATCTTCCCCTGTTGATCTTTTTTGTTATTGCCTGGTATGTCCTCTATCATTTACTTCATAAATGCTCCGTCACATGAACTGGGGTAGCTTGTCACTCCAATTTTGATGTGAAAGTCCCTCCTTGTGGCAAGGGATATACAGTGCTATAGAAATGTTCCATTTTTATTTTTCTGTGTAAGAAATCAAGTATAAAGGGTAAGCAAGAGGTATGCTGCAGTTACCAATTCGTTGTCAACTGAACTATCTCTCTGTGTATCATCCCTTTTTGCAGGTTGGGTCCTTCCAATTTGTAATTGGATTGACCCAAACTCCTAAACAATTTCATGCACTATACTAAAATATCCTTTTAGAACTATCTATTTGTCAATTATTCACTATATGTCTGCCTCTTATCCTATTTCTGTTGTATCTCACAGATATTTGTGTTTAAACACATACAAGGAGACGTGTTGTTTACTGAGTAGCAGTAGTAGTCAAGTCTTATATTCCATACAGAAAATTCAAGTCACCTTTTGTCAAGTTCTCACTAATGTGTATCCACTGATTTATAGTAGCAAATAAATGGTCCTTGGAGAAGCATAAAGTACTAGTTACCATAGCAGAAAAAGTTCCTTTTCGTTTGGTTTCAGAGGTAGCCGTTCCGTCCTGTTTGGAAGAAAACTCTCTTTGTCTCGTTGTGAGAACTTCAAAACTTAAAATGGATAATGAACTTTTGCAAAATATTACTTTCATATTCAAGTAGAATTGCAAGTTAGAGTGACCACTACATGTTACAGAATTGGACATTTCTTTTTCTTGATGTGCATGTAGCCTGCGCAATAACTTATCCATCTATTTCAGAAAAAGGTGAAGTAATAAGCACACATTACAAGCTATTTTCTGCTGATATTCGTGACATATCCTAGGTAAGCTTCTTTTGTCTTCTGATATGAAAACATGTTGAACTAGAAAATATGCCACACAATATAGGGACACCATCAATTAGGATACATGCATGATGTAGTTTCTATGTCTTTTTAATATAAACCAAGCTTTCAAGTGTTTGATATAACTTTCTGTTGTCATCAGCTTGCCAACCTTTATAATTGCAGAGTGTGTGCTTATTTACCTTGACCCGACTGCCACTGGTGCTATCGTGAGTTGGGCATCTCAAAGTTCTCCACTGCTGTCTTTTTCTTATATGAGCAGGTCGAATCATTCTCATGGTGTACTATATTTTGCCTCTTAGGTGTAGCCTTTGGAATTGATGGCTAATGTTTTGATGCAGATTCATCCTGATGATGCATTTTAGAGCAAAGAATTTTTTTAAAAAAAATTCAAACTTTGCCGAGTGCTAGCGAGAGGGCACTCGGTAAAAAATTAAAAAAAATCAAACTTTGCGAGTGCCGCCCGGATGGCACTTCGGCAAAGAATCCCACAAAAAATTCAAACTTTGCGAGTGCCATCCGAGGGCACTCGGCAAAGAAGCCCACAAAAAATTCTAACTTTGCCGAAAGTGCCATACATAGGCACTTTCGGCAAAAAATCCCACAAAAAAATTCAAACTTTGCCGAGTGCCGACCATAGGGCACTCGGCAAAGCCACAAAAAAATTCAAACTTTGCCGAGTGCCGATACAGGGCACTCGGCAAAGAAAATTAAAAAAATCAAACTTTGCGAGTGCGGCTAGGGGCACTCGGCAAAGAAGCCCAAAAAAAAAAAAAATCTTTGCCGAGTGCTCGCAGGGTTGGCACTCGGCAAAAGAAATCAACAGGACCGGCGCCGTGGCGGTGCGCTTTTCGAAAGTGCCCCGGGGCACTCGGCAAAGCCTTTGCCGAGTGCCCGATAAAAGACACTCGGCAAAGAGGGCTTTGCCGATCAAATTTTTGCCGTGTGTTCTTTGCCGAGTGCTGCACTCGGCAAAGGCTTTGCCGAGTGCAATTTGGCCTTTGCCGAGTGCCTCAGCCACTCGGCAAAGAACCTGAATCCAGTAGTGTTTCTTTCTTTCTTTCTTTCTTTTGGATCCGAGCTATACTAGGTTTTGAACGAACTCGTGAATTATGGAAGCTGTATTATAGGTTGGCGTTGGTTGGAGCAAAATAAAGCAGCAGCTGCGGCACACGGCATCCATCCACGATCCCATATTCCCATCCACCTCAGCACGGGTACATACAGACGTTTGCTATTAGCAACAAGCAACACCATTTCCATTCTGAGTGAGCATCTATCGTATATGTTTTGCAGTTGAAGTAGCATGAATGAGTGGTTTGGCTGGCGATGACCTGGTACCGAGTACGAGATGGGTCGGTCGGTGCGGTGCCTGTCGCGTGGCCAAACCGCCATGCCTTCCCTGATCCCTCTCCCTCACAGCAATCTCGCGCCACGCGCTCGGAAGACGCCTATTATTATTCCTTTGCTTCACGCATTCCACAACCACCATGAATCATGCATATTTTGTTTATTTTTGTTATTAATTATTATTCTTCGCTCGCTTCCTTACAAATACAAGCTACTTATTACTTACATGCACACACGCCATCTTCTTCGTCTCTAACTGAAACCATCCATCGTCAACAACCAAGGTCGCCCAACCCCCCCTGATCGGTATGGCATCTTCTTCTTCCTCCGCCTCGGTCCGGCAGAGGCCAGATGCATGGCGCCCGGTCAGCAGCAGCATCAGCCACGGCCAATCCTCCAAGCAGACGAGCAGAAGCAGCAGCAAGCAGACCTCCTCCCTCATCAGCAAGACGAAGCCGCCGCCAAGGGGCACCCGCCCCGCCGCCTCCTCCTCAACCGTCGGCGCTAGCCTCCACAGCGAACCTGGCGAACCTGCTCCCAACCGGCACCCTTCTCGCCTTCAACCTCCTCGCGCCAACCTTATCGAACCACGGCGCGTGGACGCGACGACATCCCTTCTCACGCGATGACTCTGGCCATCCTCGCCGTCACCGGTAGCGCTGGCTCGCTTTCATCGACTCACTCAAGTCCCCGCACGACGGGCGCGTCTACTACGGGCGTCGCCACCCGCGACCGGCTCTGGCTCATCGACTACCATCCCGACGCGCCGCCGCTGCCCGAGGGAGCTACCAGGAAGTACAGGCTCGCGTTCCTCGACTTCGTGCACGCCGCCCTGTCCGCTGCCGTGTTTGGGGTCGTCGCCGCCATGGACAGGGACGCCGTCGCATGCCTGTGTGGGCCCGCTCTGGCCAGGGAGACCCAGGAGCTCATCAACGTCCTGCCGCTTGGTGTTGGCGTGCTCTGTAGCCTCCTCTTCGTCGCCTTCCCCACCAGGCGGCACGGCCGAATTTTTTTAATTTTTTGCCCTTTTTTTTTGAAAGTTTTTCACAAATATGTCTCAGGTGGTATGTTTTTAAAATCTGGACTCTTAGCTCGGCGCCATCATTAGTGGCGCCGAGCTTACACGTCTCGGCGCTAAAGGATTTTTTGACGCCTAGGTCTTGGGCTGACATAGGCGTCGACGCAGACGTGGCGGTGACTTGGCAGATACCTTGACGCCGTAGGTCTTGGCGTTAAGCTTGATGCCGTAGATCTTGGCGCCGAGCTTGACGCCGTGGTTATTGGCGCCAAGCTTGGCGCCGTGGTTATTGGCGCCGAGAACGGCGCCAAGATCTATGGCGCCGAGGTGGTGTTTTAACCCGGCGCCCAACCTTCCTGCTCGAGCCTTCTTCCTCTTCTTTTTCCTTCCTCTCGAGTTTTTTCTCTTCCACTTCATCCTACCTCACGAATCAAGCATATTGGACCTTGGAAACTTTGATTTGATTAAGTAGATCTTCGATCGAGAGCAAGGTATCCTCGCTCCCTCCTAGTTTTTTTTCACATCGATTCAGTATATATTAGTCGGATTTTTCAGCTTAAGAATCGTCATTACTTAGGGTTTCATGTAATTTTAATATTTATATTATACAACCGTAGGATGCCAAGGCGTGAAAAATCTAGCAAACCAAGGTAACCTCAGCGCACGTTGTCATGTTATGGCTTCATTGTTGTGGATCAAATGGGAAACCCTAGGTATAGGATTTAATGTTAATTGCTTTCGGTTCTTAAAACGAAAATGGCTAAATTATAGTTATGGCTAGTTGACCAGAAATGCCTTCAACCCATTGCCTCTGTCTAGTGGTGTTCCAGTATCCATGTGCTTTTGCAGCGATCCTTGCAAGGTAGCTAAGTCCGATGAAGAGGCCACGTATAGGCAGAGGTATTGGATGTGTTCCAATTTTGCGTTTGAGCCTACACTTCGTCAGCGCCGCATTAACAAGATGGTGAAGAATTGATGTTCTGTAATAATTATTTTGTATCATATGACATCTTGCATGATTTTTTTTGTTTTGTAACAATTGCATTTGTTGCAGACCCCTTCACCGCTCTGTGATTTTAAGCAGTGGATCGACACAGAGATCAAGCCTAAAGACAAGGAATGGATGTAGAACTGTTGCGGTGGGAGACAGAGGACAAGGAGATGATGGAGAAGAGACGCAGAGAGGAGGCTGCAGAAATGGAGCGCAAGGAAGAAGAGAAAAGGAGACATGTTGCTGCGTACAGGGAGGAGAGAGAGAAGAAGCTTGAGCGTGCACACCGAGCGAAAGCAGCGATAGAGGAGAATTCTGATGCCCTGAGAAAGGAAAAGTGGCCTCGTTACACTCAGTAGTCTCCATTACTTGTTAGTTCTATGGTTTATTCATGAACAATATTGTCTACTGTTGGACTTTTTATTGTGTTGTCATGTAATGCACTTTAAGTATGGGCATGCTTAGGTCATGTACTGCGTTATTTAGTTTGTTGACATGTACTTCTAGTATTATTATGTTGTTTAATGTGTCATAGTATTGGACTTTTCATTATGTAGTTATTTTTATTATTTGTGGTCATAATATTCAGTTTAATATTGCGGACGTAGTGAAATATGATCACGTGCTGCTAACAAAACATAACGAAGTAGGGCATTATATAATTCAACACACACAACACATGAAATGGCATGTGAGAACATGTACCGAACTAGGGTGCAGAGGTCACGAACTATACCTAACATGCATTAGGTAATTGAAGCGAACAACAAGCACACGAAATGGCATGTGAGAACATATACCAAACAAGGGTACATAGTTCCTTTGACTAAATCTAACATACCTTAGGTAATTAAACCAAACAACAAACACATGGATGTGCCATGTGAATAAGATAAGGCGTCCTAGTAGTGTGGCCACATAGCAAATTGTGTTGCACCTTTTCCCATGTAGCCTTCCATTGTTGGTGGTGGTAGTGGCGGGGTGTGAATGGAGGAGGCCCTTGTTCTTGTGATTAGGGCAGGTGCAATATGGATCATTCTGAGTGCCCTCTGTGAACTTGCACCATTGTTGTTGTCGTCGTCTTTGTCTTCCTCGTACTAGCTGCTAACTTCTCTTTGTAGATCGAAGATTTGGTCCTCTGGTGGTAGTAGATGTACTACTGATGCGGATAAATTGGTCGAGGATCGACCTACCTAGTGAACCTACAGTTTTCTTCGGACTCAGAAGACTACAATAAGTATGTCCTGTGAGCTGTAAGGGTATTCGAGAAATATATTTAACAAACGAAATATAATAGCAATTACCCATGCTCACGGGCATTTGAAGAAGAGACGACCTCCATCAATCCCCTTGGGAACATCTCGCACAAAGCAATCCTCACCATGCATGCATTTTGGCCAATCTTCCTTCATATTATTGTATCCTCGAGAGGGCACTCTTTAGTGAAATCACTCTTGCTCTCGGAGGAAAACTGATACACTGGTTGCTCAAAAAATCAGGCCCAAGAGACCCCTCCCACACAATGGGAGTTCTCTTTGTCCCCCTTTCCTCTCCTACTCTCGAAACCCTTTTTTCTAGATGACCCTCTAGACATTCCTACTCCAACGAAATCGAATACTAGTTTGGTTTTCCTTTTGGTTAGCAATGCATCTTAGAAACGCATATATATAGAGCGGAGGCAGGTTTGCTAGCCGTTGTATTGTGTTATAAATCTTTACGAAAAGTCCACTCGGAATCTTTGAAAAGCCTACATCGTAGGACACTTTGGAAACCTAAATTTCATGATGAAAAGCCTATTCGATTTCATACTTCAATCACTATTTTGAAGGACACTAAAAAGTCTATTAAACGGTGACATAACAAATCCTTTGTAAAGGCTATATTATTTTACTAAGCTGCAGTTGAGAGCGATGACATAAACGTCATCGGCCCGCTAGTCTACTCATTCTTTTTCGGTGGCTTAATGCTCGGCCACTCACATGCAAGATTGGCTCACACGCATGCAATGTACGTAATCACGTTCAGTTCTTTTGCATAAAATGGAAGGAAAGAAAAGAAAATCTCAACCAATATGGTATATAATCATGTTCGGTTCTTTTGCACGAAAGAAAAAATAATCTCAACCAATGCGGTAGGCCGAGAGGCATACATGCATACTCATAACAAAAATCAAATTGATTACTTAATGAAGCTGGAAAAAGCGATGGTATACTGATTAATACGTACTTTAGGCGTAAAAATTTCGACAAAATTTCCCCTATTTTTTATGCAATCCATACACAAATATGAGATGAATATTTAACATCAATACAACATGTTCAAACATACAAATATAGGCCTCAGGAGCTTCTAGGAGCTCATCATCACGTCATACGCACACGCTTTGATCGGAATGAGCAAGATCATTTGAACTCGTGAACTCTTGGATCACGGCGGCCGAGAAAGATACGCCTCAGCATCTCAACATCACTCTCTATCAGCTCTCCAACAAGGCGATCATCATCAGAATCTAGAGCCCTTGCCATCTCATATGGCTCCGAATCATTCATAATTTCAACACTATTAGAGCCACGGAATCCATCTCCACAGTGCACTTACACAGCAATAAGGGGCACATTCACATTGTCAGGAATGTCTCCTGCAACATAAGTAGAAAAATGAGGAAAGAATGAAAAAATGGATGTAAGAAAGGGGGTAAGCTCCCAATAACCATGCGGATAAGACACTTACTCAGATAATTCTGTGTCAAAGGGGTCTCATGAGGAGGATCTGCCACAACATCATGAGTCTGACAAGCATCTCCAACTAGCTCATTGGGGGCAAATTGAGCATCGGAAACCGTAGGTGCAACCTCCACATCCATATCAGGTTTTGGGACGGGAGGATCGAAGTGTGCCTGCTGACCCATTGGTGGGAAAAACCCATGAGGGATGGGATCAACTAACACCCAACGCACAACCACGTCCAAACTTTGGAACTAGCACTTCATAGCCGATCTCACATAGTTCTCCCACTGGTCTGCACACCCAATTGAGATCATCTTTCTTAGGATGTTGGGAGGGGAACCTAGGTGAAGTACACCCTCCACTGCGATGCCATCATCTCTCTAGCAATGTAGCTCCTCCCGAGCCCTTGCAACTGAATCACTAAATGAAGGCTTCTCATTGAATAACACAGGCACACTTTGCATCTCAACAAACTCAACATATCCATTGCGATCTCTTTCCACGGTGCCTCCATGATATATACTCACTAGGTTGTCCATCTAGTAGTTCAAACAAAAATTAAAATACAGTTCATTTAGTCCAAAGTAGCTGCTATATAGTACCTCTCTAATACATACTAACCAACTACAATCTAAGTAAATAGGTTAATAACTAAGTATATAGATATAATCTAGTAACTAAGTAGCTAAATCATACCTAAATAACTAAATATACAACTAGCTATCTAACTATATCTATGTACCTATGTATCTATGTATATATCTATCTATATACCTATCTCACTAAGTAAATCAACTACATACGTCATCACATTTACTAGTAAGTACCAAATAATCAAACTAGAGCTACAATTCAAGCTAACTAAGTACCTACATTGTATATTCATAAATTTTACCTGTCCGACGAATGCAACAAACGCAGCACCCGACGTTGGAGCCGAAAAGCACTAGCCGAACTTGCCGGCCATGGCGGTGCTGCGGCCTTGTAGCTGGACACCAGCCCCTCCCCTCGTCCCTTTCCAAGGGCCACTGCCATCGGCACTTCGAGGGCCAGCGGCAGCAATGAAACAGCCGACGGTAGAGATCGGGTGGCCGACGGGGAGGGGCCGGCTCACGGATGGGGAGCAAGCGGGACGGGTCGCGGGAGGGCAGGGGCCAGGTGGGCAGCTTGAACCTGGCGGCAGCAGCGAACACGACAGGATGTGTCGAGAGT